TGAATTGCCTTATTAGGCGCTTGAGGAGTGATTTCTAACAAAAATTGGATTATTTTGAAGGGTACCATAAAATCACAAAGTTGGTGTTCGGTGTACTGCGATGCGAGTACCGGCCGGAAGATGCACTCCGTTTGAAAGAGTGAGGGCTTTTGGAAGAATGCGGTTGAAGGTCATCAGGAAAACGGGACTTTGTCGCTGCGATTCTTTGAGCAGGCTGTCGAAAAGGTGGAGTTCATCAAGTGCGCTCTTGGTCCAGCTGCTGCCCTGATACTGCGGCCCTTGAAGGGCATTGACAATTTCGGAACGAATCTCAGGGATGAGTTCAGGTCGAGCACATAAGTCGTAGAGTGCTTGGGCCATTGTCAATGCTGTTGTATGAATTGCCGTCAGACTTAAAAGTAGAGTCAATTGGGCCAGGTTTTCAACCTTCCGCTCTTGGTCATTCGCAGCTTCGAGTAACCATTGCAGGACATCTTGGTGAGCTGTTGGCGTATCGACCCTCTCGCGCTCTGCGACAAGTTCACCAACAATACGCACAGCATCTTTAACGTTACGATGAAGCTGTCGGTATGTCGGTAGCATCGGAGCAATGGCTGGGCGTAGAACTTTTGGAACAAAGCGTAGAATGGTCCCCGTGATAAATAGATTCTCTGTGTATTGTGCCGTTGTTAAGAGCCAGTCTTCGTCACGACAACGATCCGGACCAATCCATACGCGTGCAACCAGCCGAGAAATTATACGTGGGAAGACATCCATCAAATTCAGCTCTACCCAGTCTTCACCATCGCACGGGGGAAGCTCTTTCTGTAAAGCATATTGCAACTCATCTCGGACGATAGGAACCAAGGTGCTGAGATTTGGTGTCAACTTCGTTTGCAACACGCGAGTTTGTACGTCGCTCGTCTCAAAGATGTTTCCATTTGTCCAGTCTCCAGCAAAGTCGTCGAGAAAAGGCTTGACAGAGCGCACAGCATCGTTGGTGAGGGCTCGGATCTCATTAAGAAGCTTGTTATCACCAACAACAACCACATCTGCTCCCACACGGCGGAGCACGAACAAGTCTCGATACTTGGAAAAATCTTAGCAAGCTTCATCCATATCCATCAGTACTGGCCCGCCGGAAAATTTGCTTACCTTTTCGTATCCTTCCTTGATCATCGACCTACTCCCGCGGATGAAACGCAATCGTACAAGCCATTTGGGCTCCCAGAAAGCCCTATGTCCGACAACAGGAAGTCCAAGTTTGGTGCAATTGGTCCTTAGAGCGTATACCAAGTAAATGCATATGGCAGGCACTATGAAAAAAGAAAGCAGAGAGTGCCCATTTGCCAGCGTTGGAGCCGTGATAACGTGTATGCTGTCTAGCGTATAATTTATAGTTCTCTTTGTGTTGGTTACTAGAGTTACAAGTAAGAATCTTCAAAAACTCAAATCGCTAAAAAAGTTTGGAATAGTACCATCGTGAATAGCACCGTACGGGAACAAAGCAAGTTTGGACGAGGCAGACTGATACCTTCGGAGTTCGTAATTTAATTACCGCCCCATATTAATTAATTGCACTGTCACGACTAGCGGCATATCGGATAGCGAGAAGAACCCTGAAACTGGGAGGAAGCAGACCAACAGCTTCGGAGATCGTAGTCTTAGTGCCGGGTTATGTCAACCAAATGTGCTGTCGCGAATAGCACCGTGGCCGATAGTACTCTAGCGAATAGCACCGGAAGCGAAGAAGAAGTGGAGGTATGGCCTGATCAAACAAAGTTCGGGAAGCAGTTGGACATAGAGAAGAATAAACGCGTTTGAGATATAGACTTGTTGCTAATAATCCACAGAAATATCGTTCACTTAGATGGCGCTTTTGTTTGCTTTCTCGTAGTCGGGTTCAGATACCTCCTCATGCCATTTACAATCTAGATAGCCGTATTAGTACCTTAGGATTATAAAGCCAGGTGAACCACTAACCACCTAACGAAATTGCTGTATGAACCATGAGCGTGTTTCCAGTAGCACCATGCCAATGCTTTTCGCCGCCTGGAATATGGACTACATCTCCAACCTGTAATCGTCTGGGCTCCTAGCCCTCAGAGCATATAAGTCCAGTCCCAGCAATAACTGTCAAAATCTGGCCCTTTTCGTGGATGTGCCAGTACGATCTAGCGCCGGGTGCAAAGCTAACATTGCCACATGCGGTGCCGTCTTCTGAGAAGAAGATTGGATCGAAGTGAACTGATCCAGTGAACGGCCCACTTAGCTGTTTAGAAGGGGATTCGGGCAGATGGGACGATCGAATGAGCTGCATAGTGCCTTCGTATTGTTTACAAGTTTGGAAGTGAGGGGTAACGATTGTGTTCGTAGAGGATATTATCTTTGATATCTTATCTTCTTCTATCGCGCGTGCTCATCCCGCCTTAATATAGTCTCTTGTTACCCATGCTATTTAGAATAGCAACACAGGGATTATTGGCACTATCGTGCACAGGGCAAGGGCTGGCCTTCATTTGTAACAGTTCGCTAAGCGCGGATCATAACAGATTTGGACTGAACCCAGTCGAGAAGTCCGGCCTCTCCGTTCTCAAGACCCACGCCGCTCTCTATACCACAGGTTAGTAAGGAATAGCGTATTAATGCAAAAAGGGTAAGACCTACGTTTCCATCCTCCATACGTGGTATGGAGGGACCAGGGCCCTTCATTCACACCTACACAACCCGCTTCGAGCAGATTGGTAAACCGAAAAGCTCTTCCGAGATCTTTCGTCCAGACGTATGCACGAAGCCCATATTCAGTATCATTTGCGAGTCGCAAAATCTCGTCGTCATCTTCGAAGGGAAGAACCACCAGAACAGGCCCAAAAATTTCCTCTTTAAGAATTCGAGCATCGGGAAGAGGATCAACAAATATTGCCGGCCGCAAAAAGCAGCCTGGACCTGGCATAGGTTCTCCACCACAGAGCAAGGTTGCTTCTTTCTTTCCTTGCTCAATATACTGCAATACTCTTTCTCGTTGACGATGATGGAAGAGCGGTGAGCTCCATGTGGTGTCCTCTAACGGATCTGAACCTAGATTGTCGTCATAGCTTTGGACTAACGACTCAATCTTGGGGAGCATTTCCTTGAAGATCGACTTGTGCAAATAAACCCGCGTGCCCAGTGTGCAACCTTGTCCATTGAGTGCGAGGAACATCCCACAATGTCTCGCGGCTTTGTCGAGATCCGCGTCCGGAAAGACAATAATGGGCGAATTGCCGCTGAGCTGCAGAGTCACATCTTTAAGGTTTGATCGAGCAGCTGCAACTTGCACCTCACATCCTACAGCGAGAGATCCAGTAAAGCTGATCTTGCGAATCTTCATGTGCTCAGCAAGAGCCTTGCCAACGGAGCCGTCTCCCGTGATACAGTTGATGACTCCAGACGGTATTCCAGCTTCGATAGCTAGCGACACAGCTAAAAGAGTAGAGAAAGGATTCAGCTCGCTGGCTTTCACCACTACTGAATTACCGGCTGCTAGAGCTGCTGCAACTTTCATGCAGTAGCAAACTAGGGGGCCGTTAAATGGGAGCACAATGGCGCAGATCCCATAAGGCTGTCGGATTATGTACTAGAACAAACAGGCAATCAGTAAATGATATCATTGATACCTTCAGCTATTGCTGGACTGGCGCGAACTCACTTGTACATGGTCCTCTTCTCTTTCCACGATTCTGCTATCAAGTGAAAACGTCAACCCTGCATAATCTAGTAAAAAACTCGAGTTGGTATCAGATACATAGCTTTTCCTAGACTTTGGACTTACAAGTCAGTGCTTCGACAGCGTGGTCGATCTCGAACATGCTGAATTTGCGGGTTTTTCCAACAAGTATAGCCTCAAGCCAGAAGATCTGCTCCGCATGGTCTTTGACCAGTTTTCCGTATTTTAGCAACGCATCTCGACGTTTAGCCTTTTACAGGATACATTGTTAGTTAACCTCACTTCCCGTACGGAATTGGATTCCCCTTACCTTACTTAAGGACTGCCACTCCTTAAGGCCCCTAGCCGCGCTTTCAACTGCGTCTTCCACATCGTCCTTGCCAGCCCATTGGAAATCTTGCAAGACCGAATCAGTTGCTGCACATTATTGGGAATGAGCAATCAATCATGTCACCCACCTTCGCATATCACCTGATCGTTTACGGCCGAGGCATAGGACTGTGTGTTGTTGCTCTTGCTTGTAGTCCATCGTCCGTCAATGAAATGGTTGCTAGGAATAGAGTACCGATTAAGATCGAATGAGATCGATGGTCTCGATGAAGCGTTGACGTGCGGAGGTGTAGACATTTTACAGGTGCGATCAAGTTATGCAATACTTGCCATAACTAGTGTTTCCTAGCCGTAGTATAAATATCGACACACATTTTCTGTTCGCGGACATTTTCATGGCTCTGGACCTTGGACAACATTTCGGCCCCATTGAATTTTAGCAACGATTTCGGGACCGGAACAACTTGCAGGGGCACCCTGCACTGTGATTGTGTTCATGAATCGTAAGCTAACCACGCATTGGATCGAGGGTTACAGTCGGCGGTTCTACGGTGGAGCCTAGCTGCTTTGTACCCTGTAGCCAATACTTATCAACTAAGTACCCGATGGCGAATAGTAAAGAAAGCTCGGAGATTTCGACTAAAGGCTTCGGAATCCGTAATCCTAGTGCCGTAATAGGCTTATCGCCCCGCTCACTTGGTGCTTTCTTGGCTATAGCTTAAACCTTAGCCTTTGCAGAGGCAAATCTACAATATCACCTCTCAATTACATAGTAAACCAAGTATTACTATTTCATATAGACTTTCTAGGCACTCTGAGTTCACCATATAGTCCCGTTCAATGCGCTTTCTAGCGCGTTAGCTCTAAATTCTATATATCGAAATACTGTATAATCGCGTTATGTCCTCAATATTCCATATTCAATACTATTGATGTTGAAGATAACAAACTGTAGATCTATTGTATCATAAATCATTCACATAAATTGTCCATTCTGCGCTTAATTGCAAGGTTTTTGTCCAATTTTGCAATCCAGCAGTTTGCCGAGACCTGCATGGCTATATTGGCGCTTGTCCTCTCTTGTACAGCGATATCAAAGTGTGTAGATAGTAACTCATGCACAATGACTGCGGCAGCGATAATGACCTCAGAATTTGCACTATAGAACCCATCCTACGGTAGCCCCTGATCTCGATTTATGCTGCTTGATGCGATCCTATCTTGCTCGACAGGTCCTTGAGTACATACAACTGGTCATATAAACATGTGACATTTCCAAAGAGCTGCACGATGCGGAGTTTGCTGCGGCTGAAAGCTGCTTCCTGATCATCAGGATATGCGCGAAGGACTTCCTTCTCAAGCAAACGGAGGCTGTACTCATAGCAGGATTTCTCGTACTCTGCCATGGTAGTGAGCGCCTGCTTTTTCGCTGCTGGATCGTTGGTGGCCATGCTGTGAAACTCAGGGAAGTGGATGCAGTTAACGTTAAGTTCAGATGAATCCCTTGGTATTGAGCCAATGTCGTTGTGCATACGACACATAGTGCTCGCATGTCGTATCATGGCGGCCGCGAGGTGTTTCTCCGTTGGCGTCGCGAACATCTCCATTCCATTCCCCATGGTTTGTGAAACCCAACAGCAAGCCCAGGCAAAAGAGTAGGCACAAGCGATGTGATCAGCGGATGTTGTTCGTACCCAATGGAAGAATCGCTCTTCCGTTTTGTAGAGATGACCCTATAATCTAGTGAGCTGAAATGCGTTCTTATGGACCAATATCAAGTAGGTCTGCATGTTTACTTACTGCATCTTCTACTTGGGAGGCAAATGCCGTGTTATCCTTGATTTGTGTTGCGTGACCAAGTAAGAAATTCCTCAACTCGAACTCTAGATTCTTGCGATCCACAGCACTTGCTTTATAAACACGGTCATGGTGTAGCACATGTGTAGAAAGACGTAAGAAAGTTTCACAGATCTAGAAAAAGTTAACTCAGTGTTATGCTGGAATGATATTAATGGTTCACGGATAGATAGCACAAACCTCATGATACTCCAAACGTATATCAGAAATATTAGGAGATAAGACGACTTTCGAGGTCTCTGATTCCTTGCCCAAAGTACTGCTTACAACGTAGTTGATCATGGAGTGTAATGAATCTGGGTTGTCCAAGAACGCTGGCGTAACAAAAGCTTCGAAAAATTCGTCCGTTTGAAAGCCAATTAGTGACATGACCATCATATCAAAGAGGAAGTTCGTGGGAACATAAACTTTCAATAGATTGTTGCAGCCGATCCAGGTAAACGGAATAAGGTTCAAATAACTGCCTTTGCTAAAATGGTTGTAGTCATCCCGTGTGAAGATATCCAGCTGTCGGGCTCTCAAAAGTGGTATAAAGAGTGAGGACTCTACCAACGAAGCCAGTACATGCCATTCTGGCAAGGAAGAGAAAAGTTTTGTCCGCTTTAGAAGCGATGCATATTGGCCGATCTGAGGAACATCGGAGTTGACGAGTAAAGAACGACCAACACCCTCAAATGTTTCGATTGGCTGTGAGACACAGTATGCGGCTAGAACGTAGGCTTCCGAGACAAATTTGACAGAGTACTTGGTTTTCGAAGTCCAGGAGCTCGATAGTGTGCGTACACCATAAATATCCAAGTAAGCGATTCCATGGTCAAAAGCACTCTGTAGTTGAGATTGGAAGTCTGTCGAATGGTTAGCATTGTTCTCCAAAGTTATGGTAATATGGATATTCGCTTCACGTATAAAAGTGTACCTTTGAAAATCCATAGTTGACGTGCTTCTGCCAGAGTCAAGACAGCGAAAGCGGTATCATCGGCAGAATTTCCCCATGAACCATCAGGTCCTTGCTCATGCAAGGTACGTATGCAGGCCTGGAACAAACATATCGAGACTTTCAACACAAGATCTTGGTCCGCAGGAACGTAGGTGTGATCACCTTCAAGACTGCGTAGGAAAGCCACCAATGCTTGCACCATCAACATTGCCGGGTAGAAATGGCTCAAATGCTGCATTTGCGTAAGTATGCAATTTTCATAAGAATTTATAACTCACCCATTTGTCTCTGGGCAATCCATCAGACTTCCACCAGAACTCTATAATGAAATCTACCGTCTTGCGGATTTGCGATGCATAACTTTGTCTGAAATCATCTTGCAAGAGCGCAAGCAGAACGTGGCAATTCGAGCTCCAGCTTCGGTCGCGCTCACCAGCGAACGTGCAAAAGGCATCCTCTTTCTCGAACATTTTTACCATAGCAGCCGGTGTAAGCCCTTCAAGTTGGCCCAGATGACTCAGAGCAAGAAGACCTTTGGCTGTGTCGTCGACATCAATAGCACGCTTTAATAGTTTAGCTAGAGGTTCTGCTCAGTCACCAGGATTGTAGAAATTAGCGACTTACGGGTGCTGTAAGGGTTAGTTACTTCATCTATCGTGGAAAGAGAGTGGAGTCTCACCGAAACCAATAATACCACCATCTTCAGCAAAGCCATTTCGAATGACTCTTGCAATATCATTTACGATTGGTCCGAGATCAGAGACTTTGTACCCAGCGTGTAATAGCGTTGCTACAGTCCAGTTGAATTCGAAGTAGTGAATAGGAAAGGTGCCCGAAACTCCGCCGTCGCCATGACCCATGCCCGATCCTATGACATGTCGGAGGTAGGCCTCAGCTTCACTGTCCCAGGTTGTAGAGTGTATCAGATAAGCGGCAGTTGACGAGGGCGAGGCCATCATAGACCCGTTATAAAGGTGATGCGAGACTTTATCGAAGTCAATCCGGCCGACAAAAGCTTCGAGCGAATGTACAGCTGATGATGGACGTGTGCTGTAGAGCATTTCCGGTCGAAAACGAGAGGACTTCTCTTGATACATTCTTTTCAGTGCGTCTTGGCCTTGAAACTTAAACTGTAATCGACAGTCTTCCCCGCGGAGATAATCGAGTAACGCAGGTACAATCAGCTCTACTCCAATGTGATTCGTGGATACCAAATCATTCCAAGCGTTCAACTGTCTGTCGAGGGCCTGAATGGCAAGAGATATACGACTGTCGAGATCGCTGCTAGAGTAATCATGAATTTGCAGTGGCTTTGCAGCGTGTTTAAGGATCGCTAGTAAGGCAGCTGCAGTATCTAGAATGCCAGCGGTTTGAGAAACAGGATCGGTGCCCCAGCTACCATCGCTACTTTGCGTTCGGAGGAGATAATGGAAACATTCAGGATATAACCATATCTCATCGTCGCCTGTTCTCTTCTTGACCTACAAGATGCTGTCAAAAAAAGCGTTTGAATTATCGGGATGAGAACGCAGATGTTTTCACATACCATTGCAACCCAAGCGGTGTCGTACACCTGGCAACTTGCGGTCGAAAAGCCATACTTAGTGTCGAAAGATGCGAATGCCCGTTCGACTAGCCCCCGAGCTAATGCAGGTGTTACTCGTGCGTGATTCGACTGGGGACCATTGGTTGAGAATTCTGCCACAGGCAAACTTTCAGAAAGTGTCTTTGTCATCATATGTAGAGAAAAGGTATGCCTGAGCGCTGAAGTTTGTTCCTCGTACGGAGTGGCAGATAACAACACGAAGCTTGATTCAAGTCTACGGGCATCCAAGTCCAGTAATTCAGGTCTGTTCACTGCTAATGCTGCATGCTGCTAGAATTTATATGCTTCATAGGAATGGAAACGGGACCCTAGCATCCGAACCCTGTTGAGAGTGAAGCGGTGTGTGTTTCTGAATGGTTCAAAGTATCGAGCTAACGCAGAAGGACAAGTGCGACCACAAACTGTTGGCTGAAGTTGTAAAATTCCCCTTCAACATACGTAATCCTAGTAGACAACAATATCTTCGGCTGTTGAGGAGCGTGTATTCAGAACTCGGCGCTATTATTACGGATTCCGAAGCTATCAGTCCACTTCCTAGCGTTCTTTTGCTATGCGCGATAAGGTTACGGACTCCGAAGCTATTGATGAACTTTCTTTTAGCCTGCTTTGCTATTCGTCACACAATTACGGATCCTGAAGTTATTGGTCTAACTAACGTAAAGGGTTTAAATAGTAGTCCGTTCATGCATTGCATGTGTATATAACCCTGATCCTAACCCTTACCCAATTGTGGGTATACCTAACCCATTTACCAGGGTACCCAATAGTTACTCCAAAGTGGCTAGGCTGTTACCCCATTACTGCTGGATCTAGCTTGTACGCTAATTCTTAGCATAGAAGCTAAGGTACGTGACTCCGTGAACTACGTCATCTAGATTATTATACTCGCTACACAACCATAATATCCTTACCAAAAACCGGAATCTGTCTCTTTATAATTGAAGCTAATACACGGCAGTGTTTGAAAAAAGGTTATCCAAGCCCTTGCCCTGCCAGTTGACTTTACCCGTATATACTGCCAGGCTTTAACTATGGAACAAAGTACACAAATCCAGGACTCGATTGACTTAGACAGTAGATCTCCAGTACGATATCTCGCTACTATGGATATAGCAAGTCCCAACAACTTATCTAAAGTCATACGTTTGACCTCGGCTCTCAAAAGTACTGTAATGTACGCAATACTTGTGGTAGGCCTCGCATAATGCGCTTCTGATCGCACCGTAAATAACAAATTCTTCAGAGCTAGTCTTATACTATGGTACTCTCGCTATATACAACATATACTTCCACCCGCTTCGAAAGTTTCCAGGCCCCAGATTGAGAGCTGCGTCGGACTGGCCGTATGTTGTTTCCCTCCTGCGAGGCACCTCACCGCAGGAGATGCTGGAGATGCACAAGAAATATGGCCGAGTAGTGCGCGTAGCGCCCAACGAACTCACCTTTGTTAGTCCTGCAGCCTGGACAGAGATTTATGGGCAGAAAAGACGCGGTCAGGAGGAGCTCGTCAAGGATAAGAAGTATTATTCAGGAATGGGCGAACCGACACTACTTCATTCAAACCAAGAGCAGCATGCTCATCTCCGGAAACTGCTAGCGCATGGTTTCTCCAATTCTTCGTTGCAAAAGCAGGAAGCTGTGATTCAGAAGTATCTCGATGTCTTGATGAATACCCTCAGACACCAGTGTCAAGATGGGCAGTCTGTTGTGGACCTCAAAGACTGGGTCAATGTGAGTTAAGAGGATACCGTTATCATGATTGTTGTCTTAACTAACAATGATTTGCAGTTTTTTGTGTTTGATGTGATTGCATATTTGAGTATGTCACAAACAAGCCGCTCTACTACAGCAGCGACCAAGTCTAACAATACCCAGCATACGGACAGTCTTTCAATTGTCTAGAGACGCGCAACGTGCACTCGTGGATTGAGCTAGTCCCTAAGCTTGCCAAATTCATGGCTCTTATGCAAGCAGCACAGCGCCTACCAATCTTCATAAAACCTCTATTCTTGCTTTACGGTATCAGTACAAATCTGCGGTCCAATGTGCGAACCATTCAAGCAATCAGCAAGGTACATAACTTCAAATCTTTGTACAGGAAGCTGTATCGCTAAAATTTATACCCTTATTATAGGAAAAAGTTCCGCAGGAGATCTCGACAGGAACCCCTCANGGAAGCCCAGCCTCGCCTAT